GGAGAAAACAAAACAAGAAGGGATAAGGAATGCTGGGAGGTTGTACTTTTAAGTATGGTAGTCAGGGAGGCCTGAGGAGATGCTATTTGAGGGAAGGCAAGAAGGTTAGGCAACATGCAGATTTCTGAAGAGAGTGTGTTCCAGGTAGAGGGAATGGCGGATGTAAAGTCCTTAAGGTTGGGATCTTATATTAATAATTATATAAGTGAATGTTTTTTGGGGGAAGTGGCAAGATAATATTGCTTTGGGTATATTGAAATGTGAGGTATTTATGGGACATCCAAGTAGCAATGATCGGTAGGCAGTTCAGGAGAGGCTAAGGCTGGAAGGAAATCTGTAGCTCACCGGATTATAGGTGGAATTGTAGTCATGGATTTGCAGATTGTCTGTGAATTACATATAGAGTGAGAAAAGAGTAGGAACCCTGGGTAACACAAATGTTGGGTGGAGATAGTAGAGCAGCCTGCAAAGACGACTTAAGACCAACCACCTCAGAGGTAGGTGTTAGGAGAGGGTGGTGTTACTCAAGTTGTGGCAAGGCAGTCTTTTCTGACTTCTGTGTCTTCCTCTTCTGCCAACTTCTAACCAAATCAGTCTTTGAGTGCAACTGTCTCCCCTCGCCCCTATACTTTAGTTCAGGCCTGCCTCATTTCTTGCTAGGATTCCAATAATAGTCTATTGTCTAGCTCCTTACTCCTAAACTTGTTCCACACTTTTGCCATAGTAGTCTTTCTACGATACCAGAACTCTGCCAGTGGCTCCCCATCCTCTTCAGGATGAAGTCTGACCTCCTCAGTGTGGCATAAGATGCCTTTCATGATCTGGCCTCTTCTGTTTGTTTTCACCTTCTGCTTCCTTTCCACCTCACATCCTAAATTTCATGAATTCAAATTATTTGTCCCTTCTAAAAGGAGACTTCTTTGCCTCCAGGTCTCTGTACATGCTTTCCTTACTCTCTGGAATGACTCGCTCTCCATGGTTCATTAACCTTGTAAGATTTGACTGAAGTGGTTACCTTCTCTGCAAAGCCCTCTGACTTCCAAGCAAAACCACGCTCTTCCTTCCCTCTGGGCTGACTTCCTAATTTGTTACTCATCTCTGGTGTGGTCTTAATGACAGTATCTTGAAATTGTCTCCATTTTCCTTCTCCAATTTATGGTCTCCTAAAGGACAGCAACTTTGACATAGAGATCTTTGTTTCCTAGTGTTTGGCTAGTGTAGTGTCTAATGCAGTGCTTCTCAAAGTGTGTTCCCTGTACCAGCAGTGTCAGCATCACTGGGAACTTGTTAGAAATGCAGATTCTCAGGCCCCACTCCAGACTTACTGAATTAGAAACTCTGGAGTGGGGCCCAGCAATCTGTATTTTAACAAGCTCCCCAGGTGATGCTGATACATGTTTGAGAACTATTAATTAGTTCAGTGAAGTGAATGAATGACAGCATTCACTGAGAGGAGTCAACTCCCGTCTCATGATAAGAGGAGAACTCTTCCACTTGTATTCAGTCCTTAGGAAAAGGAAATAACCATGCTCTATGATGGCTGCAAGAACTTAAAATAGTGAGCATATGTAGTTAAGATTGACAATATTTTTGGTGTCATAAATGCAGGCTCAGAATCTGTTCTGAGTCTCCTGACTTAAGCCTTTAAAGTTAGAGATTAGATAAACTGAAAGGAAGAGACACAATCTTGTTACTTTAAAAATCACCCATAACATCACCATCACAGATAACCAAATTATCAGTGATTGTTTCTGGGTGATATTATGATTTTTTTAAATTTTGCTTATGCTTGAGATTTTCTACAAGTATACATTTTTTATTCAGAAACCTTTATATTTATGTAATTGGAAACACTAAGATATAAATTGAAATAAATTTATCTGAATTTTTTGACCCTTATGAAGGTATCTTTTTACTTTCCTTTTTAAAATGACAAATAAAAATTGTATATATTGTGTACAACATGATGTTTTGAAATAAGTATACATTGTGGAATGGTTCAATCAAGCTAGTTTTTTTCAGTTTGTAACATTTAAAGTGGAAATTAAAGAAATAATATAAACCCTGGTCATATTAAATATAGTTTTACCTAATTACTGCCTATTTTAGTGGATCTATATATACTTTATAAAATACTTATTGAACATTGTATTGTTGATTAAAGCTTCAGTTATAAGGCTGAGCACTAGGTTTTTACTTGTAATACACAACATTGTTTCTGTGGGATGATCAGAGTTCAGTTGGTGTCATTTTAACTTATAGGACTTCTTTCTGGAGAGTCTCTTGTCAAAAGTAAAGACTGCAAGAAATCTTGATTGTTTTCATTCTAGTTCTAGAACAGATTCAGTCTCTTTTTAAAAGAAAGTTTTCATAGATCTCCTCATAGGGTGATTTACATTTTTTTTTCCCCTGGAGACAGAGTCTTGCTCTCTTGCCCTAGGCAGAATACAATGGCATTATCATAGTTCACAGCAACCTGCAACTCCTGGGCTCAAGCGATCCTCCTGCCTCAGCCTCCCGGGTAGCTGGGACGACAGGTGCATGACACCACTCCTGGCTAATATTTTCTATTTTTGGTAGAGAAGGGGTCTTGCTCAATCTGGTCTGGAACTCCTGACCTCAAGCAATCCTCCGTTCTTGGCCTCCCAGAGTGATAGGATTACAGGTGTGAGCCACCGCACCCCAGCCTAAATTACTTTTATTATAAAGTCTAATGCTTATGGCCGCTGAGGTGAGTAGATACAATTTTTTTTTTGCTTATAGTTCCCAAACAATAGTAAAACCAAAAATTATAAATTAGGTGTCATAAAACTATGGAACTGATAAAATTCAAATTGGCAACATTAATATAAGACTGATGTTTTGGTGAAATTAAATGCCAGTGTTGGGTTTAATAGTAGACAGAAATATTTATGTATTTTACTTTTTACTGGTTATTATTTCTATTTTAAGCATGAGCAACATGGGATTCATTGTCATTATCGTAGATATTACTGTTTTTAACCTAATCTCGTTTTGATGGGCCAGTGATAGTATTGTAAAATTAGTACTGAAAAATACTCATTTAAAGTCAAGTTCTTTTTTTGGATGAAATTGTATATATTTATCATGTACAATATGATGTTTTGAATATATATACATATTGTGGAATGGCTAAATCAAGCTAATTAACATGTATTACTTCACATTGTTCATTTTTGTGGTGAGACCACTTAAAATCTACTCTCACTATTTTTCAAGAATGCAAGATATTGTTAACCATAGTCACCATGTTGTACAATAGATCTCTTGAACTTATCCCGCTATCTAACTGAAATTTTATAACCTATTACCATCATTTCCCCAAACCCCTCCCCAACCACCACCCCAGCTCCTGGCAATCGCTATTATACTGTCTACTTCTATGAGATTAACTTTTTTAGATTCTACGTATGAGTAAGGTCATGCAGTGTTTGTCTTTCTGGTCTGGTTTATTTCACTTAATGTCCTCCAGGTTCATTCATGTTGTCAAAAATGATAGGATTTCCTGAATAGTATTCCATTGTGTATATATACCACATTTTCTTTATCCATTCATCTGTTAGTGGACACTTAGGTTTATTCTATATTTTGACTATTGTGAATAATGCTGCAGTGAATATAGGAGTGCAGATATCTATTTAATATACTGATTTCATTTCCTTTGGATATCTTAATGTCAAATTCTTTACTGCCTGTTAAGCTTACACTTACTGCTATGAAGTGTCGGAAAATGGTTCATAAAAAAAACCATTGTAGCCGGGTGCCATGGTGTGTGTCCATAGTCTCAATTACTGAGGAGGCAGAGGCAGGAGAATTGCTTGAGCCCACCCAGTAGTTTGAATCTAGCCTGGGCACCATAACAAGACCCTGTCTCTTGGGAAAAAAAAAAAAAAAGGACCAATTTGCCCAGTACAATTGAATATGGTATTGACTGCTCTGGGAAACTTTGAGTTTGGCATGCCTGTGTTCCCCTTCTCTCCTCTGTTTTGCTCATATCATTTGGCACCAGTAGGATTATAAACACCAGTGCAGAGATGGACTCTGCAGTCAGAATTGGCAGCATTCAGATATAAAGATGGTCATTCAGAAGACATGAGACATAATGTATATATTTTTAACTTAACATGCAAATGAAAACAATTTTTAGAGAACTCATGGATCTCCAGGAATAAGTCGTTAGATCCAAGAAACTCAGTTTTATATCTATAAATACCATTAATGCAATACTAAGTCTATGAAACAATAACATGTACCATTTAAATATTCACAGTATAAAAAAGACTTCACCGAAACATCAAATAGCTAGCTTCGTTTTAAATTTTTTATACTTGTGCCAAATTTAAACCACACGATTTCTTGTCATTAATGTTTGGAAGTCTTTTTTTTTTTTTTTTTTTGTCTCTTGTACATTCCCTCTACCCTTTTTCTTGCCCAACTTACTCTCCCCATCCTCTCCTCCTCTCTCCTGCTCCGTATTTCTTATGGCGTCATGATTCTGGTGAGGGTCACAGTTCACTGTCCTGGTCAGTCTTGATGTATCATCCATTCTCCATGATTGGCCCGTTGCTGAGAGTGCATGACTTAATACCAGGCCAGTTAAGAGTCTTTACCTGAAATTCTTCATGCTGAAAGCCAAGAGAGTCTTTTCTTCCTCATAGATTATACTTGGATGGCATAAGAGTAGAGCTTTCTGAAGCTATGGTGTCTCATTTTTACCTCCCCACCCCTGAAAATTACCCACAGAGGAAGCAATCTGTAATGGGATAGAACAAGACTTACCCAGAGGAGCAGTGATACTGGGAGAGAGAATCCTGGTGGTGATGGAGTCTTCATCTTCCATTCTGTAGCTGCCTGGTTATCTTCCGTCAAATTATCTTTTGGTTGAAGCTAGTTCAGTTGGGTTTTTCACTTAGCACCAGAAAGCACCCTTAAATAAACCATATTATAATTAAAAGACATCCTTTTCTATATGTCTCTAGGTGAAGATGGAGCTGGAAAAACAAGCTTAATAAGAAAAATTCAGGGAATCGAGGAGTACAAGAAAGGAAGAGGATTGGAATATTTGTACTTAAATGTGCATGATGAAGACAGGGATGGTGAGTGTCATTTATGTGTAACATAAGTTTCCTGAAGTCTATTCTGAAATGCACTGCTCCTCACATTAGTCTTTGACTTTTCATAGTGTGTCATCTTTTACTACAATATCATGCTGGTTGGTAAATAGTCATGTTTAGGCATCCTTTTATTAATTTGGGATTGGGATTCATACAGTGATATTCTTAAGCATTTTAGGGTATTCTACTGTGCAGACATTAGCCTTCTTGTCATCCTTAAAGAATCTCAGTTTTTCAGTTCATCCTCTCTCAGATAGTGATTTTTGCTGACTCCCATTCACCGTTTCATTTTCTGATAAAAATGTGATCTATTCAGCTTTTTCCATTTGGTCAGCCATTTTTTCTTATATAGATCACTTGCCTCTCATTTTTTGAATATAATATCTTGTGTATGCATTGCTCTATCTGCTTAGGGTAAAATTATATAAACATGTTACCCAGTTTCTTGTTTCAGATTAAGAAATATGAAGTAGAGGATGCTGGTACTTTTGTTGGCAGTCAAGTCATTTTAGGCCCTTACTCAGTTGGTAGATGTGACCTAAATAGTTGAACTTTGTCAAAGCCAGACATCTCCTGTGGAGACAAACTAAAATATCAGGTAGTTTTGTTTGTTGAATGATGAAATGACTTAACCTTGTTGCCTTGGTAACTTTCTTTTTCTGTTGTAGATCAAACAAGATGTAATGTGTGGATCTTAGATGGAGACCTGTATCACAAAGGCCTCCTTAAATTTTCACTGGATGCCATCTCCCTGAAGGACACTCTAGTTATGCTTGTTGTTGATATGTCAAAGCCTTGGACTGCTTTGGATTCTTTACAGAAATGGGCAAGTGTTATTAGAGAACATGTTGACAAATTGAAAATCCCTCCTGAAGAAATGAAAGAAATGGAACAAAAGCGTGAGTAGTCTAGAAATTATTAATACAGGTTTAAAATACAGAATGTCTTGGCTGACTTTAATAATCACTAGGAATTTTTGACTGTGAATCATGTTTAATGAAGGAACCATTAATGTGACTATTGTTTTTGAAATTCAGTGTGAGTGACATGCTAGGTTTTAATATACTTTCATATTAGAAACCTACACATAAAGGTAAACACTTTTGTAGAGATACCTTTTCTCCTTGCCAAAAGGCTGTGTGTGTTCATTTTGGAAAGCAGTTTTTCAAGGTGAAAAAAACTGAGTCTTTCTTTAGCTGCTCATTTTCAGCAGTTTCATTTCTTGATTAGTAGAATAATCTTAGCAACCTTGTCAAAATGAAGTATGCCTGAAAAGATGTTAACAACATAAATATAAAGATAAGCTGGTTTTATGATTTACGGAGTACACAGTATATTTTATACATGCCCATGTGAATTGGAAAGTTTGATGGGAATTATGAAAATGATATGGATCATTTATAACAGATTGTAAACCAGTGACATTTCTTAATTTCACTGAGAGCTCTTCATTTGCCAGTGTTATACTTTGCCTAAGAAAACACATAGATGAAATGCTTTGTTGTTAGCTGGTAATTAACTTTCAGGGGGAAATTGACAGCTTACTGGAATTTATATGTAAAGAAACAGTAAAAACTTAAGAGAATGTATGTCCTAAATCATTGAAAAAGATGTCTGGGGGAGGGCTAGGGAAAAGAAAAAATAAAAAAAATTAGAAAAAGATGTCTAAATGCTTTTAATCTCTATATTTTTTTCCCTGCTGACCATTGCCTATGGTGTAAATTTATGCTAAAGCAGTGATTCTTAACGTGTGGTTCCTAGACCAGCAGCATCATTATCAGTCAGTACAGCTGGGAACTTGTCAAAAATACATATTTTCACTCCCCACCCAGACTACTGAATCAGAAACTCTTGAGGGTGGAGGCAGTAATTTGTGATTTAACAAGCCCTCTGGGTGATTCTCATGCATGATAAAATATGACAGCCACTGTTAGATTTCAGCCTCTAATCTTAAGGGTGGTAGTCACCAGAGCTGCTGAGGCTACTTACATATCCCTGTGTTCCTGGAGGAACCGCACTCAACTGTTCAGGATTCTTTCTTCTTTGACTCCATGTATAAAATTAGAATAGTTTTCCTTCATATGAGTCAATCTTCATGATCCAAAGAGGAATTGGCTCATAATTACTTTTTTAAAAAATAAATAAGTTTTTTTATAATTACATAAGTAATATACATCTTTGTTTTTAAAAATTGAAAATATACTTAAGTGTATTTTTCCAGTATGTCTTTATTTCTAAGCTGGAGTCATACTTTGGTTTTTTCTTTATCTCTCTCTCTCTTAATGTTATTATTTTCTTACAACATTAAATATTTGAAAACTTGACGTTTTATAGCTCTGTATAATATTCCCTCATGTGCCATTTTAATCCTATGCTGTGGACAGTTTGTTTTCAGATTTGTTGTTTTGCTTTTAAACATGAAAAACAGTATTATGTGTAAATCCCTGCGTGTGTGCATCCCTGATTGTGTCCTTGAGAATTCCTATAAGGATAATTAATTTCTGAGTCACAATAAACATTATTAATGCTTTTGGTACGTTGCATTTGCTTTTTCTTTTATAGTGATGATTTTGACAATCTTACAAATCACTTCTAAAAATTTATCAGCATCGACATTTTCTCATTAAGTTGTACTAGTTTTACAGAATGAATATGGCCCAAGATTGAGCCTAGGTAAAAAGAAGACGTGAGTAAAGAGTTTAGAAAAAGGAATTTAATATTAGAAATTTTTCTAGGAGTGTCTTTAAACTGTGGGATTTTTTTGCACTTTTTAAATTGTTATTCCTTCAATGCCCTTTGTGAATTAGAGAGGGTAGAGACAAAGCTATTACAGATTGTGACTTGCCCAAAATATTTTGCACAGACTGAACCAGATCTAGATTCTGCCTGATAATTATTAATGTGGGCCCAATGTTTGAATATTGTTTGAAATAAATTTCTCAAACTTTTTTTCTTCTTTTACACAAGACTAAGTATAAACTCAAGAAAATATATATTTATATTATGACAGGGAAAGCTACCTACTGAAATAAAGCAATTTCTAAACTGTTTGATTTGATTTTCAGTGATTAGAGACTTCCAAGAATATGTAGAGCCAGGAGAAGACTTCCCAGCTTCTCCACAGAGAAGAAATACCACATCACAGGAAGACAAAGATGACAGTGTAGTTTTACCTCTGGGTGCGGATACACTCACACATAACTTGGGCATTCCAGTACTAGTAGTTTGCACAAAGGTTAGTTTGCCTCTTAGATACTCTGCTACTTATATTCACCAAGGAAGAACAACTCTTTTTTTTTCCAGGTTTTTTTGGCGTTAACATGTTAATTTTCCTAGATAATTTTTGTTGACAAATAGAAATAATAGTTAAAAATATCAAATGATATTGACATGTTGCTTTTGTGATCTTAATCATAGTTTCCTTGAAGGAAAATGTTGTATCAAATATTCTATTTGTGGTTGAATTTCATTTTCATATCCAGTTGTACTATCAGTTCAGTAGAAATAATTACAGGTAAAATGATAGTTTATTAATT